GTTTCAAAGATGTAAGAGACACACACAAAGGTACTGTACTGTGGAAATAGTCGAATATGGCATAGAGTGAGGTGATGGTAGTTTGAAGTGAGAAGTCAACTGCCAGTCAATAGACTTTTTTGCCGTATGAATATACGATACCCAGGGTACACCATGTGGAAGTAAGTCTATCACACACCTCCTATCTTTATTTTGAAGCCTGAAAATCGTAAACACGTCCCACTATTAAATGAATTATACATAACTTTATTGGAATGATTATTATTTACTTTAAATGAGATTTAGTTTACTTAATTAGAGAACTTCAGTTCAGTGACACCGAATGGAACTTGTTTAATTATAATCCATACAAAATCGTTCAATCTCCGTGTTATTTACCGATATCGCAATCTCATTTTGATATAATTAATTAATATCAAATGGCAGGCGTCTTGATGGTTATCATTAGCCCTTAGTTGACTTCAGGCTTCACAGAGAGGAAGGGACATCAAATTGAAAAAAAGCCGAGAGGGAGGAACAGAAGAGTGTTTTAAAGATGTAAGAGACAAGCACAAAGGTTGATTTCACGCTTCTCTGGGAAGGGTTTCAATAACTGCTTTAAGTATGTCCATTAATTGCTTGGCGACAGTAGCACTAGCACAGCGATTAGAGTCTATCTCGACAAATCATCAAAATAATGGAACAACTGATTAAGATCCGAAGTGGAGGAAATCGGAGGCCAAACTTCCGTGGGACTGTTATAGTAGTAAATAATGGGCCGATGACCATTTGTACTTACCTTCGAGGTGTGACAGAAACCAATCCTGATACCGTCGAGCATATGGTCCATTATCCAGGACTTTACCATTAGTGTATTCGCCATTGCCTCGCGGGCATTCGAATTCAATCTAAGCCCCTTCACATCACCTTCAAAGGAGAGTTTACCTTGAATGACACGAGGTGTGGCCTTCGAACTTCATGGAAATCAAACCATGTGTGTGCTGTAATTTTTGAACCAGGATAAAGTTTTATCAGTGTAAAAGCACCATATTGTTTGCGCTTCAACATGACCTTTGCTCCGAAGTTTCTGCACATTTGGCAAACCAGTTTTGTTGGTCTTTTTGTGATAAATTGACGCCAGTATGATTAATAGTAACAATGTTCATCACTGAGCGCGAACAACATGGTTGAAGCTGATGCATTCAAGAATGTTTGAATTGCGACTCCAGAAAGCTGCCGATGTTAATCAGCATGATACAGACTGTTAGTCATTTACATTGGTTTCACGCATATGAATGAAGAAGGGTTAAAACTTCTAAATAAATTGTTTATAAAATCGTTCACGCTTACGCTACATATTCTTTGCAACTTAGGTCTTGAAGAATTTCCCAAACGAGATAGGTCTGAGAAACGAATGCTTAATGCTACAGTAAATAAGATTCTTGCAAGTTGCAGAAAATGCATGTCGCATTTGTGAGTTTTGACTTGTGCTGTGAATCGGCGTTCATTTGGGTGGATGATGAATGCGCCGACCTAATTAAACGGGTATTTGCAAGAATGGGCACGTTCAAACTTCTCGGGTACTCAAAAAATAAATTTACTAACAGCTGACATTTGCGAGATTGTAATAAGGGGTTGTATATAGGCATAATTAATTAACCTACCTGGCTACGCAAGAATGATGTATTGGTAAGAAGTTCAAATAATTTAGGGTGGAACTCATCGTAATCCAGCGGTATCTCATATTTAGTCAACCACATAATGAAGTAATCAAACAAATTTCGCTATGGCTAGACATAGCTTGTTTGGAAGTGTATTTGTGATCATAGACAATGTGCACTCAATTTAATCTAATAATTAAGAGTGCCTCAAGAATTCAGGGGTCGGGTATTAAAATAATAATTTAGCAACATTAGAACTTGGTGTACCGAATGATTGCCATTTTTTAAAATATCGAAGATTCCAGAACTCAAGTGCAGTAGGGGCGTGGGGGTTGATCAACCCTATTCTCAACTTTTACTATGTTCCCCCTCACTACGTATTTGACAGCTTTATTGGACTTGTGTATTACAAACGCGAATGGATGACAACATCAGTACTCATGGGGGTGGGTGGAGAGGGGAGGTTAACTTTATTTGGAGCAGATGACCTGTTGTAGACGCAATGACATTATGTGGTTGGATTCAAGTGATATTAGAAGGAGATACGGTTGAAGTATCTGGAGTAAGTACGACTGCTCAAAAGACTTAGGAAATGGCACTTAAAGGAAAAATCATTTTAAAATGAATTATAGTTTGACCACAATAAACTCACTCTTTAAGCTATATTTATAATTTAGAAAGCATTTATCATCGCCACGGCAACGAGTGCGAATGAAATGGTGAACTGAAGATGATTTGCGATTCTATAAAGTTTTCATAACATCTACATCACATAGCATTCTGGAGCTACTTATTATCAGCATCGAAGTTAGCATGGAAGCGGTATATTTCTCTATAGACTCCATTGAAACCAATAAGTGTTATTTGTTATTTTGATACCTATTTATAATTCGACTTGTTATTTCGTGTTCATTTGAGTTCTCATCACCTGGAGCACCTTAAGGTGTTGCCAAACCCCTTTAGTACTTAAAACTCCACAATCAATTACCATGACATGAGCTTGCCTACCGCACTAAGAACCACATAATCCCACCTATTTATCTATATGCTTCAATTTAAAAAATGACCTCTCTCGTCAGCCCCATTCATTCCCCACCTAATTAAGTGGAGATGCACAATAAACCATCAGAGATCAAGTTGTATGACCAAAGTAACCATAAAAAGTCACTTCTGATGACGATTTCAGAGTTGCTAAAAGCTTTTATTTAACACCTTACATACTCAATCAACTTTCATTTTGTCAATTAATGAAAAGTCTACAGTCATTAAAAAATACCTCAACAAATCATTCTTGCCCACGTCGGACATTTTGGATGTCTCTACCAGTCACTTCTAGAATGAAAAGGAAGTATCTTTTACTTCCAGTACGAAATGATTGTTGAAAAATCAAAGTCTTCAACATTTACATTTTAGTTTCGCGATTTTATGGGCTAACTAACCTACACCTCTTGCCCTTTGTCATGTTATCTTACTATTGAACAATCAGCTTTGGTTCCGTACGATAAATTTCAATTAGCAAGAATAACTGGATCTGCGAGGCTTTAAAATTGGCGTTTTAGAAACTAAATGTGAAGCCGGCACCTTACAGTTGCTTAGTGTGACAATCGAGCGAATTTGCACCAGCAAAAAATGCATAGATGATTTATGAAGCAAAAGACTCGTCGCTATATGCACTTTTCCAACCCACCGTCCTTCCGAAATTTCCTTCCTTCATGCAAATTATAACTGTGGAAAGGGGTGCTCGATAGACTTAACCACACGTGGTGCACTCTGGGTAGCGTATACTCATACGGCATAAAGGTCTGTAAACCGGCAGCCGACGTCTGACTTCAATCTACTATGACCCCACTGTATGTCATATCTGATCACTTCCACAGTACTCACTTCACCTTTTCTCTACCTGTGTCTGTTTCTTTTACATCTTTAAAGCACTCTTCTGTTCCCTCATTCCACTTTTTATGACTTTGATGTTCCTCCCTTCTGTGAACCCCATAGTCTACCAAAGGGCTAATGATAGCTAACATAAAGCCTGCCATTTGATATAAATACATAATTTTGGAAAGGCCAGTAACATCCCTTAGTATAAATGGTACTTTGGTTTAGCGACTTCGATTGCCATACGACGGTAGAAATAAAAAAGTTTACCTTATGATTTTTATTAATAATATAATATACAGTGTTGGGCATGTTATTAGGAATTAAGAGTAAAAGGGTGGTATGATAAGAAGAGATTAAAATGAAATTGAGACTGGCAAAGTATGAGATCTATTGAGAATTGAGTTCGGGTGAACGGCTTTGAGGGTTATCTGCTGTTCCTTTTGACCAAGCGTCGCCTTGGCAGATTGTAGAAAAAAGCTTGTCGATGTGTGACTTGGAGAAGATATGCTCAGTGATTGCTGCTGTGTCATCGTCACTTAATCGAGTAATTTTTACATTGCAAAGTTCGCAAACATTACCCTCCATAACTAGTGGTGAAGTGCCACTTTTAACTATGGAGGTACAAATCTCTCCACACATTGACGAGACTCGAGCCAGCTTCTTCTCTTTTGCTCGTTGATTCTGGAACCAAACCTGAACTACTCGACGACTTAGTCCAATTGCTTGACCAATGTTCTCGCACTCGCAGATTGTTGGAGTCTTGTGGTGCTGAAAAAACCATTGCATGAATCGGGCCTGAGTTGAACTGATGCTCGTTCTATTACGTCTACAGAAGTTATCGGATCTTGCCTCGATCGCGCTAGTTGCACTGCCTGTCTGGGGACTAAGTGTTTGTAATTGATTTGGTGAATGATGGTCACTGGTGCGAAAAGAGACTGTAGAGAGATCGAGAGGTGACTCATGCTCATTTAACTGGTTTTGTTCAGAGGCCAGGTGAAGTGGAACTTGTGAAAAGGACATCGGCGAAATCATTTCCAAAGGTGGCATTTGAGTTAGAATTTGGTTAAATATTTGCTGTAATTTATCATTTGGTGTTGATTCAGGAGGGATATTGGTTGTACTCGCAGCAGAAACTAAGGACTCAAGTTCGTTGAGTGGTGACACGTGATCAATAACCTCTCTTGGTTGCCACGGTGGAGTTGGCATTGGTGGAAGAAACAGGTTCGAGTTCGGTGATTGCGATTGATATGGAGAGAGTTTTATGTACATTCGACGCTCTCTAGATCTAGCATTTTGAAACCAAACCTGTAATAGGGAAACTAAATTTGAATTCACTTTGTTTGACAAGAAAATCAAGAATTAAAATTAATCGGAATATACCTGTACGACACGTTTAGGGAGATTGACTTTACTGGAAATTATATCCATTTGTCGTCTACTGGGGTTTTGATCAGCTTGAAAGAACTTTAGTAACAGAGCTTGTTGAGAAGCTGAGATTGGAGTTCTGAACCGTTTTGTTGATGACGTTGGTTTTAGAGCAGTTTCAGTACATTGGCCCTCCTCAGAATGTTCAGGAGTAAATACTGACTGGTCGGGTGAGGGCTGAGGAATATCTGTTGTGACGTTCGACTTTATATTATAAGATTTGTCTTTCAATCCTGCTTTTTTACTGAATGTTGTTAGCGTCTCCTCAATAATAGGACTTGAGGAAAGGAAGAATGGCCTACGATTATCCGATTGATCAGATGTCGTTACATTTCTGGAGCGTTTGGCTGGTGTAGGTTGGGGTTGAGGGTAACTTTGAAATCCGAGGACAATTTGAATCACTGCGTTCTCAATTTTGTCAAATGCTTCAAGAACTAAGTTTGGAAGATCGTTGTTATGATAGAGGTTCTGGTGAATGCCAGCGGAGGAAGGGAGAAGAAATGCTCTAGAAGGAGTGCATTGCTCGCATATTTCGGAAGCATGCCTTTGCTGAAGTACTCTTAACTCCGCAAACTTTCCCTTGGCATTAGTCTGGTGAGCGATACTTTCTAGAATTAGTGCTACGAACTCGTTGGAAATCGCGCTATCCATTTGTGGGAATTGATACTTTAGCCAACAGGTCACAAATAGACTGAGTGAATTGTCTGATCCGAACCATGTAAAAAAATCCTCACAAGTCCTCGGAACTGCGATCTGCTGTTTCTGCTCATCAAACAATTTTGCAAGACCCTGAAGGATTTCTGGATTCTGGAGTTTGAGCCAAAAAGATAATGGGTCGATAGCAGTCTGCATTCTGAAAGAGGAGATGAATTCAATAGGGTAAAAGAAGTGATTAAATGGCGTGCGTAGAAGCGTTTATATAGACCCGTAGGTGAATTATGGCAGAACCAATTTTCCCAACAAAGCCTGCCAAATAGGCAGGTTGATTGACACAGATACGACAAGCTTGACACCTTATGTGATTAGTGTGAGTGAAGTTAATCATCAGGAATGGGTGTGAAATTGGGCGCCTTAATCTGCCCAAACCACATGTTAACACGAGCTACGTTTTCCACGCAGCTTTGTTCTCATGACGTGTGGATTAATTATCACACATTACCCAATTCGCATCTATTCCTCTCCTTGTCTGGTATGGCACATGTCAAATATAATTAATATAATTCAACTCATATATTAAATCATAACGGATCATGCCAGTATCAGACTGACAGATGAAGAAATTTGTGTCGTTTTCATCAAGCAAGATAAATGCCAATTTTTTTGCCTAAGCTATTATCTTAGGGGGGTGGAGAAACATTCAGAATGGAAAATAAAAATGAAGCCGAGAGGATACAAATCTGCTGACCAGAGAATTACCTAGTGTTTGGAACACAATTTGTGTCTTGGTGTTTCTCCGAACCTTGGTTGACAAGGTTCGAACTCATGTACGCTGAAAGTATAAATCCGAAATAAATATACTCCAAATTGTGGTTCAAACCATAGACTACCCTACGTGTTGGTAGTTAGTAAGTAAGGCAAAAAGGCAGTTTAAGGAAAGCTTGATAAAGAGAGTGTGGGGGGGGTTTCGAAAGTGAACTCACGTTTTAATAAAGAGTTGATTTACGATTATAGAATTAAGTTTACTGCAGTGCCATTATATTGATGCGCCATGGTGCTCGCGTTTATCCTCTATCTTGACAAGAGCAAATAGTGATAATATTATCGCACTGTTTCGCTTTAGCGTGCCACTTGGCTAATTAAATACTACCAATTGACAGTCCCTAAAAACAACAACAGCATTAGCCTGCAAATCTAGATTATACCTGAAAAAAATTATTTCCAGAATTTTCTAATATAAGACTTGGGGTAAGTTATTAAATAATCTTAAAGACAGCATTTTCACTTTTATATGAACTGGATTCCTTTTAATAAATATTTGATATTGTATATTTGCGCAAGAATAAAAGGACTTTATTTGGATTTTCATGAATACAAAAGTAAATAAAGAGCAATCTTTGAATTAATGAGCAAGTTAGTAGAATATGCATAAATATTATTTTTAATTATCAGCTGGAACTAACTAAGGCTCAAACTGTTAATTCTCAATCGCTTTACTGAAATCCACTTAATCCAATATCTTCACAATTGGCAAAGATCAAATTTTAAATGTAATAATGATTACGAAAAAGTGAGAGATTTTTCATTGAAACGGTTTTTTGTTGATTCAAAGTTAATTACTATTTACATTTTTAATGCACTAAGTGTTGATTGCGCGTATTTTTTCCCAATAAGGTATTTTTAGAGACTCAAGGTACACTTCCCACGTTAGAGATATCACTCAGTAGTTTTGTCGTTCAACCCCCCATTTCTTGCCAAGTTAGATTCTATTACGGGACTTTGATTGGACCTTCAGAAAGGATTTATCTATTAGGGTGCTATGATCTACAATTCATTACATATAATTGGTTAATAAATTTTAAATATAGCCAGTTTCAACTTGAGAACAACAGAACATCACGCAATAAGCTATAGCCTGAAGGTAAATAGAAGGTAACCCGATGAATTCTGAATAGAAATGAAGTGGAAATACTGAGATATCCAAACTCTTTCCCTACTTCACTGGATTACTTTCCCGTTCGTGCAATTAAACAAGTTTCTGAGAAGTAAACCACCACATACTTTCCATTGTTCTTAATAATTATTTAAAGCTACAAATCTTCTATTTGTTTTACTTTCGCAAATACAGGATTTACTTTCGACTCATAAGAAGGAGACATAATGAGAATGTTAAAAAATCGAAACACACTGAAGTAGATAAGAGCTTTCAACTTTATTGAAACAGTGGTTACTTCCACCCCATTCTTCCTTGCCAATTTCTTTAAGACAAAGGAGAGGTCTAATTTGTCGAAAACTATGACAACTAAGCAGAAAAAAGAGCATCATTGTTTGTGGAGATAAATTTGTTTCGAGAAAAATGGTTCCATTCATGTTATCGAATGTTTCAAGACTTCTATACATACTTAGATGTGAAATGCCCTTTCGCTTATAATTTACTGAATATAGTATATCACTAATTAAAAGCGAAATTTCAAATGAATTTCAATTTCTTCTCGATTGGTGCAGGTTGGAAGCTCTTGATTAGACAGCTGCATCATTAAGTAGCTTGTCTCGTGACGCAGGTGACAATGAAATCAAGAAGTTTAATTGACTCGTCTAATTACACTTGAAGCATATCGTCAGATGCAATTTTTTAAGTTGGATTTGGAGAGGTGGGGGGGCGGGAGGGTCTTAAGGAACTGTGCTCTTGACTTATTTGAGCTCATAAATGTGCATGAGGCAAACCTGCTAATTAATAATTGATTGTCACTATAAGACAACTTATCAAGCTTGTCAAAACCTTGATGGAGAAACTGGAGAAAAGCGCGGGATTTTCGGAGTTGTTTACTTATGATGCAACTTGACTGCCTCACAAAATAACCTTCACAAGAAAAAAGTGAATATTTATGAATGATAAAATTCACAATATTGTATAGTAACATACAAAAATATGGTTATTAAAATGCATTGTTATCTCTAAAACAGGTCGAGGTAATTTTGGAAATTAGACGACAATCAACAACTCAAAATAGCAAACTTATTGAGATGATACGACCAAAACTCTATTAAGTCCATAATTTACTGTTAAGACTAGGAAATGAACTCCTTACGGGAAATTAGGAATTTTCACTGCAGACTTTTCTCACCCAGAGATATGTAAAAAGTCGAATGAGCTCAAAGAAACTGGAAAGTCGTTACCTTTCGAGGTCGATTTCTCTTCTTCACTTCCTGCACTACTTTATCTTTCTAGTACTAACACGCTTTTCGTTATATGAACCTTATTTTGTTCTGCATTGCTATGGAATACTAATTGTTTTATAGGACATGATATTCAAAATTGGTAATATCTTGATTCATGTAGAAACGTAATTGCTGAATGGTTAACCAACCATTTCAATCATTGTTTACCATGTATTCACCTTGGGTGATCACAACATACAAAGATCTGCTAGTTCAACATATTTTTTCAACCACATCTCTGCTGATGAGAAGGGCTCTTCTTGGTTAAATTATTGTGACCAATAAGGACTGAAACGCGGTAAACTTGGGACAACTCATGTAATTTGAATCTTGGAGCCCGAATTAAACAGCTATACAATCAAACAAATTACTCCTAAATGACGACTCTCATGGCAATTTCCAAAAATACTCTTTGATCGCATACCTTATGAAACTAGGTTGATTGTTCATCTCTATCCTCATTTTCTCTATTTCCTTTCTGCTATATCTAGCGAGTTCATCGATTCACCATTTTTCTCTAACGATCACGTGTCATTCAAAGGCACCTCTGCACTCGTAGAATTATGGATGCTCTTACCCAAATCATCTTTTTATATCATCTTATCAGTTAGAAAGCTTCTCTCGCATCTAATCTCATCCAACTTTGGCAAATATTACAAACTAATAGACTAATTGGTTTCACTTTGAATATTTAAAAGTTCATTCTTAAATGATACTATTAAAAGGGTATTCCTTAATCGTAAACTATATTGAAGCTTCCACAAGGACAAGATGATCAAGTTATTTTATAATCCACTTCTAGATGGCTGATTTGAATGAAAACACGGGGACAATGGCATTGTGCAGCCTGCAATGCACAAGCGCACTACAAACATTTTAAAAACTGAGAGAGGGTAGTCAAAAGGACCGCAAGACAATCAAATTACTCGTGCTAAATGAAATGACATTACAATTTCATTGACATTCTG